TGTTTCTTATCAGTTGCTTGCCTCTCTCTACAGCTCAGGACAAAGAACTCTTTTAATAAATATAATCAAACAACGTTTGTTATTACTAGGGCTGGGCGATATATCGATATTCTTTAAATATCGGTATAATTTTTAAACAAGATATAAGATGACTTTATATCTTTATATCGATATAACTGGCCAAACTGCTATGCTAGCGATTAGCCGCTATGCTAGCGACATGTTGCTCCGTCTCTAAGCGGCTATTACGTGTATTCTCGCAAGTTTGCTCAGTCTGAGAGCCTCTGGGTAAAAGGGCTGCTCTAAACTTTGCATTTGGCCTCCTGGTTTTTAATTATTTGGGGATGTTCAATGCCAACGGAGTTCTGTTTTCCATCCTGCTTGTGCGGAGAGACGAGCCAAACCCCTCCCTACCCTGTGTAATGAGGAAACGGCTACGGAAAGCCGGAGTGGCCAAATGACCTGAAACATATTTAAGGGTTTGAATAGTAAACTATAGGGTTACCGTTTTATTTTGAAGGCGAACTCAACGGGTGAGAAATTTTGTTCCGGTTCCGTTTTTTCCGCTCTGGTTTGCTATGCTAGTAAATACTCTGTTACGAGTGATTCTGATGAAAAAGTTGAGTTTGTAAGGTGTGGGTTATGGCGACAGTAGCCCGAAAATAACACTCATAAAAGAGCAACCAGAGACTCTGAATCACTACAGTATAATCGCTGATATGAGCCAACACTTCTAACTAATAACTAACAACTAGTTAATAACTAGTTTTTCTAATAACTAATAACTCCATGGTGCATGACCCATGTGATCTTCAGTAGATGCAATTACATCATCGTACATTTAGCTTAACATGATGGATTTTTTTTCTCTGGACAAGACCTATACAATATGGGCCACCTCTAGATGAAATTTAAATAATTTTACATTAATTATAAATATATAATTAAAAAGTGCCTGTGGGACATTTGATACTCCTCTGGCTCTCAACTGTGTGTGTGTGTGTGTGTGTGTGTGTTAGCAGACAGCTGTACCTGTGTTACTAAAGCTCAGACTGGTAGAGAATAGGCACTACGGTTAAAGTTTGACCAGAATCAATACATTTTTATGCATTTAACCTACTGATTTATGTATATAATTTCTCAAGAGCTTGAAGTTAGTTAACTTGTCAACAGTTTACAGGAGGAAAAATATCGGGATATATATCGTATATCGGAATTCAGCTTAAAGATATCGAGATATAAGTTTTGGTCCATATCGCCCAGCCCTAGTTATTACCAATTATAGTGTGAAATCAGATGTTCAATCAATGAGTGAAATGACAATGTTATTACTTGAATTATAATCCTGTAATCAGTAGTAATTATAATTTTGGCACAGCTTCCACTAGACACATGACAAAGTGCAAATGTTAAATCACATGACACATTTCCTTTTGTCTCACCAATCAGAACCTTTGCTTTCTGACGCGTGGCATGGTTTTCTGTGGTGTTTGAACAAGCCCCTTTTGCTGTCAAATTCTGTTTCGACCGTAAACCAAAACATCCAAATGAATAAAACTATTTCCCATGACATCTTTAGTTCAGTTCAAAAGTTCTAGCGTTCGGGCCGGCCACCTGTAACTTTTTAACCGTCGACCCTTGACAAGCTGGATAAAATCTGTTGCACGTTACCACCTGAACGTAACGATTCCTTCAGAATAAAAGCTGAACTCACCGACCCCTTCAGGGTCTCGCTGACACCTATAATAACTTGTCGTGACCTGAGGACATTTCGAGGAAAATCTGGTCAGGCCACGGTTGTTTCTACGAGCTTTGGGTCCATTGACATTCTGGACCTACAACGGAGGTTCTCGTGGGGTACGTAGACCGACAGGATGGCGTTTGCATGTGGTTCTGGAACTCCCACTATAGTTTAGAGTGGAACATCATTCCCACTCAGAACTTGCCTCTCCGGATACGAGAGTTCTGATTACAACATCACTCACGCACACACCATCCATCTCACATCTCATTCACACCTAGATTCATCATTATCAGAGTGTTTAGAGTTAGTTAGTCTTGTTTAAATTGTGTAGAAATAAATCTTCTTAAACTTTTAAACCTGACTCTTTCTCTTGTCTCTGAGTTAATACTAAGTGGTAAATAATCTCTGCAGTAAAAAGTTCTAATCTTCTGGTTAAAAATATTCAAGGATCCATCAGATTGATAGGGCTGCTCGATTATGGCAAAAATAATAATCACGATTATGGTGAGTGAAACTGAGATCACGATTATTTAGGACGATTTTTCTATTTATGTTGATTTTATTTGGTTTTATTCAGTCATAAAATTGCTCAGGGCACAATCAGGACAAAAATAAATAAGAAACAAGATGATCACTAAAATAACTCCTGATTCCCCAGTATAAAAAGACCTTATAGCTCATAGTTTATGACCCAAGGGATTTAGACCTTGGTTTAACTCATTTAAGTCTAACCAGTACAGACCCAAATACCAATATCTTGCAAACACTGGCAGCAAGAATTATACAGTGGCATTTATAACAAGTAAATTGATGTTCACAAAATGTTGCATAACATTTATTGAAGTTGTGTCAAGGTGCTGTAAGAGAATACACTAGCACAGTGTCCTCAGAGATTAGTTATTATGTATCAGCGTGAGGAACTTACTTCTATCTATTTCTACCTTATTAATAAACTATGTATGTACAAGTCCATCAGTTAATGTAATAAATGTCCCAACCACAGCTGCACCCCCCACCCCCCAACCCGGTCTCAGCAATCGGGGCCAGCTGCACGTGTGTTTAGCGCGCCGCACACGCACATTTAGCGGCTCAGGAGTCCGCAGATGCGGTGTGTGTCACTCACTCTGGTTAATCCAACAGGGAGCCGCCTCCGAGAGCTGTTTCTTTAGTGACCGACACATCACTACATCAATCCCTTTCCTAATGTTGTGAAGAACGGTGCGGAGCGCAGGCGGAGTGTTTAGCTAACCTGCAGGAAACGTCGACGACAGTTATCCAGAAAGTAGCTAAGGGTTACCAGAGATGTTTCGGAGGTGTTCGCTAGGTACTTTTAAGATTTAAAAAGTCAAGAAGGGGGTCTGAGAAGCTGTTAGAAATAGCGTCAAAGTCGCCAAGTTGGCAACACTGTGGGAGGAGCGCTTCATTTGCAACTCAGGGCAGCGCAAGTGGGAGGAGCAAATAATCGGCTTGTTTTGTTTTTTATAATCGTTCAAAACTCAGATCGTAATCGTGACTAAAATTCGATTAATTGAGCAGCACATCAGATTGATATTTCATATTTTTATGGAATCTCACATTTTATGGTTCATACGTAAGATGTAAATACACATTGTTACACAATAAACTCTACTGATGTTTTCTGTATATTATATGGTTTTGCTAATCCTGTTAGCGTCCAGAAGCAGAGTATGGGTCGGATGAGGCTGGCCCATACTTTGTAACAGCAGCTGCTATGTGTGGACTCTCGTGATTTGTTTATTTACATTTGTAGTAAACCTTTTTCCACAGTCATCATGACTAAATGATTTAGGTTTCTTCTGGACTTTCCTGCACGAGTCTACGTGTTGCTTCACTCTAACACATCTCTTGTTAACCAAACAGCCTGAAGACCTGACTGCTGGATGACTTGTCTCCCTCACGTGTCTCTGGAGACCACTTGTGAAGAACTTGTTGACAGACTTACCATCTGACTCAGAAGGCCTGCTCTCATTCCAGTCATCATCTTCATCTCCAGTTTCAGACCCAGAGTCTGACAGCTCAGAGTCCAGATTCACACCATCATCATCATCATCATCATCTCCACTAACTTCAGTCTCTGAAGAAGCAGATGATTGTTCATGAGGGTATAGATCTGGGTTCCTGCTAGTTCCTGCTCCTCCACCAGTTTCTGCTGTCATCTGGTCAGCTGAGCTGCTGGTTGGAACATCTCTGTCTTCTATTTGCTGCTGATGAAGCTGTGAGACCAGAGGTTTCTCTTCATCATCCTCACTCTTTATAGAAACAGCAGTAACAGGAAACCCGACAGCTTCAGTCTCCTCCTTCAAACAGAGATGCTCTCCCTCCAGACTGGTCCAGAGCTCCTCCTGTTCCTCCTTTATGTGGAGGTGTTCTGGGTCCTGCTGGTCCACACCAGCACTCTGTTCTTCAGAATCTTCTTCTTTAACCAGCACCAGCTGTTGAACATCTGTAGGAAACACAGACATGATGTTACAGACCACCATACCTTTATATTTACACCATGAGTGATACTGGCTACAAGATGTGGGAAAAAGGAACAAGAACATGAACTTCATTTAGATAAAAACATATTTCTACTTTAGGAACAATAAAAACTTCCATCACAATCAGCGTGTTTGTTTCTGACCATAACTCCTAAGCCTCCTACTCACAACCCAAGCTTTAGATCTGAAGCTTATGTGAGGAGAAACGTCTCCAAGATAAAATCAGCAACTATTCAGTCAAAAGGAAAATGAATAAACACTTAGATGCAGCTGCTGTCAGTAACAATCTTTAACTTTTAAGCTCTCAGCAGGCTAAAGCACTACAAAGCAAAGGAATCTTACGAATTAGCACTTTGGGAGATTTATTGTTGATACTATTATACATGTGTATATATATATATGTGTGTGTGTGTGTATATATATTTATATATACAGTGGGGCAAAAAAGTATTTAGTCAGCCACCGATTGTGCAAGTTCTCCCACTTAAAATGATGACAGGTCAATAATTTACATCATAGGTACACTTCAAATGTGAGAGACAGAATGTGAAAAAAAATCCATGAATTCACATGGCAGGATTTTTAAAGAATTTATTTGTAAATCAGGGTGGAAAATAAGTATTTGGTCACTTCAAAAAAGGAAAATCTCTGGCTCTCACAGACCTGTAACGTCTTCGTTAAGAAGCTTTTCTGTCCTCCACTCGTTACCTGTATTAATGGCACCTGTTTGAACTCATTATCTTTATAAAAGACACCTGTCCACAGCCTCAAACAGTCAGACTCCAAACTCCACTATGGCCAAGACCAAAGAGCTTTTGAAGGACACCAGGAAAAGAATTGTAGACCTGCACCAGACTGGGAAGAGTGAATCTACAATAGGCAAGCAGCTTGGTGTGAAAAAATCAACTGTGGGAGCAATTATCAGAAAATGGAAGACATACAAGACCACTGATAATCTCCCTCGATCTGGGGCTCCACGCAAGATCCTGTGGGGTCAAAATGATCATGAGAACGGTGAGCAACAATCCCAGAACCACACGGGGGGACCTGGTGAATGACCTGTAGAGAGCTGGGACCACAGTAACAAAGGTCACCATCAGTAACACACTACAACGGCAGGGAATCAAATCCTGCAGTGCCAGACGTGTTCCGCTGCTGAAGCCAGTGCATTTCCAGGCCCGTCTGAAGCTTGCCAGAGAGCACATGGATGATACAGCAGAGGATTGGGAGAGTGTCATGTGGTCAGATGAAACCAAAGTAGAACTTTTTGGTATAAACTCAACTCGTCGTGTTTGGAGGAAGAAGAATACTGAGTTGCATCCCAAGATCACCATACCTACTGTGAAGCATGGGGGTGGGAACATCATGCTTTGGGGCTGTTATTCTGCTAAGGGGACAGGATGACTGATCCGTGTTAAGGAAAGAATGAATGGGGCCATGTATCGTGAGATTCTGAGCCAAAACCTCCTTCCATCAGTGAGAGCTTTGAAGATGAAACGTGGCAGTGTCTTCCATACTATACCATCTTTATTTATATAGCACTTTAAAAACACAGCCATACAGCCGACCAAAGTGCTGAACAGTCGCACAATGACAGAGATAAAAACATAAAACAGAGCAATAAAATACAGTCAACAAATAAGAAACAAGCTAATAAAAAAGTACCAATAAAAACCTTACAATGGATGATAAAATAAGAGTAGTAACAGCCAAAATAACAGCTAACTGTTAAAAGCAAGGGTAAAACAGTGTGTCTTTAGTCTGGACTTAAAAACTGCCAAGGAGGATGTCTGTCGAACTGCGGCTGGAAGTTCGTTCCACAATTTGGGACCGGCAACAGAGAAAGCTCTTTGTCCGCATGATTTATAACACCCTTTTGGTACCTCGAGGAGCAACAGGCTGGATGACCTGAGTGTGCGACCGGGAGTATAAATCGCTAGAAGATCAGAAAGGTCCCATGTTGTCGTTCTTTTTTAAAACACAGAAACGATTTTGTTACCTGTTGTTGACGCTACGTTTCGCCGACAGCTGCCGGCTTCTTTAGGCTGACGCTGATGGTGGCGCGTCCCTTCCTTCTCAGTTTATCTGCGGGCAGCAGAGGACGTTGTCGCCCTCTACTGCCCGCTCTCCCCTCTCACGATGCAGTCCCATGCGTGGTCCAGCGTGTAAACTCCATCGTCCCTGTTCATGGTCCCACATCCACGTCTCCTTATCTCAATTGCTTCCTTGATCCATCTTTTGTATTTTTGTTGTTCAGTGGTTATGATCCGTGTGTTGTCCCAGTCCATTATATGGTTTTCTCTTAAGCAATGATCTGTTACGGCTGACTTTTTTATTGTACTTTCTGCTTCTTCTTTTGCTTCTTTTGTGTGGAGAGCGGACAGTAGAGGGCGACAACGTCCTCTGCTGCCCGCAGATAAACGGAGAAGGAAGGGACGCGCCACCATCAGCGTCAACCTGAAGAAGCCGGCAGCCGTCGGCGAAACGTAGCGTCAACAACAGGTAACAAAACCGTTTCTGTGTTTAAAAAAAAACGACAACATGGAATTAGAAATAACGCACAGCAAGAACACACCTAAGATGATCACAGAGAAATACGGACACCAAGGAACGAAGGACTTCCGCCGTTTGGAACGATTACACCAGAAACGCGCACGTCTAAGAAACCACCTTCGCTTCGGTTTACGATGCCGGGACGAAAACATCACACCCACAAGCCTACAGCTGAAAACACCAATCCGGACAAAGACAGCACAAAATGTAATAGAAAGAGCACAGAGAGCACTGCTCAAGGAGAGGATAAGGAACGTCATAACCAAACAGAGGCGAGTGGAGGACGAACTGGAAAGAGGACACCTGGACTTGAAAAGGAATTACAAACTCGATAAACAAATGGAGGAACTAATTAAAGGACATATGATGGAAAAACAGCAAAAAGAGTTCACAAAAGTAAAAGAAAGACACATAGAGAAGCTAAACAAACTCATAAACAAGAAAAAGAGGGGAGAAATACAAGGTAACTCCACACCAAACTCATGGGTACGTAACATTTCACAATACAAACTAACAGAAGCAGAAGAAAGCATATTAAAGAAAGGTTTAAACTTTGCAGTCACACCAAAAGAAATACCATATGATGAATTTATTGTAGCAACAGAACTAGCATGTCAACAGATCACAGATGAGGGAAAGAAAGCAGAACTCAGAAATAACATAGTTGGGATATTAAAAAACTGCCAAATTCAACACAGCAATATTACAAAAGAAGAACAATCAGCCATGACAGCTTTATCCAAAAATGAACAGATAATTATTCTACCGGCAGACATAGGAAGAATCACTGTGGTAATGGACAGAGAAAAATATAAACAACAGATGAAACAGATGTTAGAGGACAAAAATACATTTGAAATACTTAAAAAAGATCCAACAGAAAACATTAAGAAAAACATGAAAAAATTACTGAAGCCGCTGCATGAAAAAGGCAAAATAACAGAAAAAATGTATAAACACTGGATTCCCACGGCGAACATAACACCAAGAATATATGGAACGCCAAAAATACATAAACAAAATACCCCACTTAGACCAATAGTAGACAGCATAGGTACACCAACATACAACATGGCAAATGATATCAGCAGAATCATCAGCCTGTTATTAGGAAATACAGACCAACGCTGCAAAAACAGCATAGAACTGGCAAAAGAACTAAATGAAATTACAATAGAAGACAAAGACATACTCATCTCACATGACGTCACATCTCTGTTCACAAAAACACCAACCCAAAAAACCATAGACATAGTAGTTAACAGAATCAGACAGGACAAGACTTTACACAAAAGAACAAATCTCACAGCAGATGACATAGCACAACTGATAGGACTGCTAGCTAACTCCACTTACTTCACATAATATACAAACAACTGGAAGGCTTCGCCATGGGTAACCCGTTATCAGTCACCCTGTGCGAGTTTTTCATGGAAGACCTGGAACAAAAAGCCATAGCCACTGCCCCCCCACCCCACCCCACCCTCCCCCCCATACTGCAAAATAAAACTATGGAAACGCTACGTGGACGACATACTGGAGATCATACCAAAAGGTCAAACAGAAACACTAACACAACACTTAAACAACATTGATGACACGGGCAACATTAAATTCACTTATGAGTTAGAAACAGAAGGCAGCATAGCTTTTATGGATATGACAATCACCAGACAGACCGACGGGACCCTAAACATAAACACATATAGGAAACCAACACACACAGACCAATATCTAATATGGACATCAGAACACCCTACCATACACAAAATGTCAGTAATCAGAACATTAGATCACCGAGCAAACATGATAACAGAAGAAAAAGACCGAAAACAAGAAGACAAACACATACAACACGCTTTAAAGACCTGCAGAATTGAAACCCTAAAATTCTGTATAATTAATGAGCATCAGACCCACGTGACCACAGAGCTTGCTCCGTGGAAAGGCCTCAGTAGAGCCTCGGTCTCACTTGGAAACTGCTCCGGGATTTTGAGGAATGCCCCCACAATGCTGCGGCATAATCCGAGGGCGCGCTCAGTTTTTTGCTTATGGTCACGCAATGCATTTGTGATCGCCAAGTTTAAATTGTGACCAAAGCAGTTAAGCCACGGCCACTGCAGGGACCTGATGCAGCAGAAATGTTTGCAGCGTTGTCAGTTGTTATGGCTGAAAGTTTTTCCTCTCCGAGTTTCCAGTCCTGAAGTGCAGCTTTGAGCGCAGCAGCAAGATTCTCCGCTGTGTGACTCTCTGGAAAATAGGTTGTTTGGAGGCATTTGGATTCAAGTTTCCACTCAGGTGTAATTATGTGGACAGTCAGAGACATGTATGGCGTCATATTAACCGACGACCACATGTCAGTTGTTAAGGAAAAATTATCTGCCCCCGACAGCAACGCCTGTGCATCATCTCTGACTTTAACATACAAACTTGGGATCGCTGTTTGTGAAAAATGTTTCCGTCCGGGCAGCTCGTGCTGGGCATCTAGGACCGTTACCATGTCCTTAAATGACTTTTTTTCCACCGTGTGGAAAGAAACCATTTCCTTTGCCAAATATGTTGTCACAGCATCAGTGCAAGTTTTCCAACGGAGACTGTCCCTTTGATATTTTGTTGTTTTGGCAAAGGCCCCTATTAATGTCGGCTGCACGTAACTGGTGGTGGACTTTGTTGTTGGTCCTGGTCCTGCATCGGTGTCAGTGAGAGGTGTTGAAACTGTTGCACTGACTGAACTCGGAGCCAAATTCATCCTCGCAGCAGTGACTGGGTGGTTGATTCTGAGATGTGTCCGTAGGTTTGAGGTGTTTCCATTTTTCGCGGTTACCTTTTTGTTGCATAATTTACAAATTGCCTCGTTGGGATTCACCGGCTCTCCTTTGTCATTTGGTTTGAAGCCGAAAAATTCCCAAATTGCAGAGGTTGTTTTCTTTTTGGACACCAAGTCAGTCGGTGTGCAACCTGTCATCTTTCGCTCAGCCTTTCTCCTACGCACTGTCACGTGATAACGTAACGTCACGTTCATAAACTTTATGAAATATCTCCAAAGCTTACAAAACATTTTAAAATATTTAAGTAAAAACAAAAATTCAAAAACGCATCAGTTTTATACATGGAATGACTTCTTTATCTTTTAAATTGATTTTTACATTTTTAATCCTTGTCTCCAAAGTGCACGCACTCACAGCTGTTTTTCATGACGGTATTGGAACTGACACCGTTGCTATTTTGTAATACTGCGTGTATACCGTAATACCGCCCAAGCCTAGTGGCCACCTCCCATTTTAGTACAAAAACGTGATATTGGAGCCTATGGAAAGGAGATGTCCAGTATATTTATGTCGATGATCTCACCGCTCCCCATGGGGACGGGTCAAATGCAGGACGTAACTTCACCAGTGTGTGACGATCACTTTGGGACTTTAACTCCCCTCAAAACAAAATTTTTTTGGGATTAATACGAGTCACGTGACCACTATACTCGGCTTCAAAATCATTCATTAGAGAGATCTAATCACTCTAAAACTTCAAAGTTATACAACAGTGTGTGAATGAGTGAATGACTGGTTGTGATGTAAAAAGCTTTGGGGGGTTTAGAACCCCAGTAGTGCTAAACACATACAGATCATTATTTTAAAGATTGAACCTCATTCTCATAATTTCACTGTAATGTCCCACCATAGACTGACCATATATTCATTCATTCATCCACCAGTACCTGTGTCCATGCTGTCCAGGTCCAGGTGGTGAAGAACACACGATGAATCAGTCCCAGCTGATGGATGATCCTGAAGTGGTAGCAGGTTTTCTTTAGCCGTGTTTAGCTAACAGCTGCAATAGAAACAAAGCAGGAGAGCTGATTAAGATGCTGCTTCAGAACAACGCAGGAGATTAAAGATCCAACGCTTTGGTTCTGATCAGCTGAGGACAGATCCAGTCTGGAAAAGAGGACCTAGAGTAGAGTAGAGCTAACCGCTTTTTCCTCCAGAGTCACATTCAGACTCGGGGCTTTTCCGTCGGAGAGTGTGAGCAGGATGGACCAGAGAGCGAGCAGCGATGATGACCAACTCAGATGAGTGAGTCTGATAGAGGGAACCTCTTCCATCTGATGAAAGCAGCAAAACGAGCGCGTTTCTCAGAGAGACCAAAGGAACAGCAGCAGATCCAGAGGGCAGGAAGTCTAGAGAAAAGCTTTTCTGACCCACAACCTGATTCTGGAGCTCCGATTGTCACGAAGGCCGCAGAATATCTTCTCTGGTTCTGGAAAGAACTCCACCAAGTTGTGGAGGAGGAGAAGAAAGTTTCCACAGCCTGGTGAGAAGATTTCTGCAGCAGCAGTTAGTCGCTTTAGCTGATCAACTCTCCCAGAGACTGAAGTGAAGACATTTTTACTGCAGAGCCTCAAATATTCTCCTCACACACCAGAACAACAACAAGCTAGCTCTGCTAGCAGCT